AAAGAAAGAAATACAAATAGCAAGCAGGTAGTTTATTGAATGTCAAATACAATACAGTCTGGCTAAGGCAGATGGAACCAGAAACTCAAACTTTAAAACACAAGGGGCAAAATTAGGTGACAGGCATATTGACAGAGCCCTAAATCCACATCCAGAATGGATCATAGGAAAGGCAAACAGAGAAAGACCTCCTAAGTTTTTTCATCAATTTAGTCACCATGGCTATCCTGCAGAAGTGGAGGCATAATACTGGTGACAACTCAGGTACAGAATGGGCAGTCATCTCAAAGATTTTTTGGTGACTCCAAGGGGCTTCAGGCCTGGAGGGATTTGCTCTGTACAGAGGATGGACAGTAGAAGACAAGCCTTTTGTACCTGTAGTCCTCGTAGCAATGTTAAGATTTAGAAGGTTTTAAAACTGGATACCACCCAGTGTTGGCAAAGGCACAGGAAAATGGGAACTATCAAATACCACAGGGGCCAGAGGAATACAAATTGGTTTAATCTTTCTAAAGAACAATTTAACAGTATGTATCAAAGACCAAAATTTCCAGTTCTAGGAATTTACACTAAGGGCTTGGTGTGGTGGCTCACGTCTGTAATCCTAGCACTCTGGGAGGCTGAGGCAGGTGGATTGCTCAAGGTCAGGAGTTCCAAACCAGCCTGAGCAAGAGCAAGACCCTGTCTCTACTATAAATACTTTCTTTTTTTGAGACAGAGTTTCACTTTGTCACCCTGGGTAGAGTGCAGTTGCACCATCATAGCTCACTGTAACCTCAAACTCCTGGGCTCAAATGATCCTCCTGCCTCAGCCTCTGAAGTAGCAGGGACTACAGATGTGTGGCACCTCGCCCAGTTAGTTTTTTCTATTCTTAGTAGAGATGGGGTCTCGCTCTTGCTCAGGCTGGTCATGAACTCCTGACCTCAAGTGGTCCTCCCACCTCCGCCTCCTAGAATATTAGGATTACAGGCGTGAGCCACAGTGCCCCGCCATTTTCACTGGTTCTTTACAAATGGGGGAAAGATCCCATTTCGATCATTTTGCTTGTCTGTGCTACTCTAGATTTATGTTATCCTGAATCTGACTTCAGCTGTTTTGGGTAAATGCTTGATAAAAACACTGTAAAATGAATCCTGAACAAATAGACATATCTCTGGGAATAAGATCAGAAATATAGGCGGGCGTGGTGGCTCATGCCTGTAATCCTAGCACTTGGGAGGCCGAGGCAGGTGGATTGCTCAAGGTCAGGAGTTCCAAACCAGCCTGAGCAAGAGCAAGACCCTGTCTCTACTATAAATAGAAAGAAATTAATTGGCCAACTAAAAATATATAGAAAAAATTAGCTGGGCATGGTGGCGCATGCCTGTAGTCCCCGCTACTCGTAAGGCTAAATAAAGCAGTAGGATTGCTTGAGCCCAAGAGATTGAGGTTGCTGTGAGCTAGGCTGATGCCATGGCACTCACTCTAGCCTAGGCAACAAAGTGAGACTCTGTCTCAAAAAATAAATAAATAATTTTTTTTAAAGATGAGGTATACACAAGCACCCCTGTGGACACACAGGATGAAGACTGAAAGGATATATACCAATAAGTTAATAGTAACCATTTCAGGATAACTTAAAATATAAATTCACCATGTTAACAAATTTTAAGCATACAGTTCAGTGGCATTAATTACTTTCACATTGTTGTATAACCATCACTATTACTCATTACCAGAACTTTTTCATCATCCCAAACTAAAATCTGTACCCATCAAACAATAACTCCCCATTCCTTCCTCCCCAAGTCCCTGGTAACCACTATTTTATCTTCTGTCTGTATGAATTTGACTATTCTAGGTACCTCAAATACGTAGAATCATATAATATTTGTCCTTTGATGTCTGACTTATTTCACTTCACATGTTTTCAAGGTTCATCCATGGATAATTTTTGTTTGTTTGTATTTTCTAAGTTTTCTACTATATACATGTATATATATCTTTGTTAGAATATTGGGCTTTTTGCAATTTCATCTATCTGGCTCTTTAGGAAGTCTGGGGAAAAATGTCATTCACATGATAGCAGCTAAAAGTGTATTTAAGATATAGGTGAGAAAAATAAGTCATGATAGGATGATTCAAGGGAGTCCAGATTGTTATATTTTAAGAACGTGCCTGAGGAAGGCACAATGGCTTACGCCTGTAATCCTAGTACTCTGGGAGGCTGAGGCAGGAGGATTGCATGAACTCAGGAGTTCAAGACCAGCCTGAACAAGAGTCAGACCCCATCTTTACTAAAAATAGAAAAATTAACCAGGTGCAGTGGCATGTGCCTGTAGTCCCAGCTACTCGGGAGGCTGAGGCAGGAGGATCACTGGAGCTCAGGAGTTTGATATTGCAGAGAGCTACAATGATGCCACTGAATTCTACCCAGGGTGACAGAGTGAGACTCTTATCTTTAAAAAAAAAAGAAAGAAAGAAAAAAAAAGAATGTGCCTGTTACAGTTCAGAGAAGGTAAGCAAATTGCCTAAGGTCACATGGTCAGGTATAGCACTTTCACCATTTCACCAATCACTTTCACGCCAGTGATTGCTGTGTGTGTATTCTGCATAGGACCCTGTGCTAGGAATACAGAGGCAACTGTAAGATGTTGTCAATCTAGTGGGAGACAAATGCATAAAAAAGAAAGCTGAGGTGAGTCTGAAATTTTGAGTATGAAGACTTGGAAAAATTTGGTGCCCCTTTTAAAAAATAAAAATTAGGAGACAGAACCAGGTTCTATGAGGAAGATGTTAACTTTTGGATGTTGTGATAGAAAATGCTTTTTACAGGAGACCGTTCTACTTTGAATACAAAAACATTCATGGTACTCAATGTTGTAGACATGATAAAGCTGTTATCTGTTTTATAAGTAACCAAATTATTGGCTTTCACTACTAGCTCCAAAAAGTAAAATTGTATAGTTTCTTTTTTTTTTTTTGAGACAGAGTCTCGCTTTGTTGTCCAGGCTAGAGTGAGTGCCGTGGCGTCAGCCTAGCTCACAGCAACCTCAAACTCCTGGGCTCCAGTGATCCTTCTGCCTCAGCCTCCCGAGTAGCTGGGACTACAGGCATGCGCCACTATGCCCGGCTAATTTTTTATATATATATCAGTTGGCCAATTAATTTCTTTCTATTTATAGTAGAGACGGGGTCTCGCTCTTGCTCAGGCTGGTTTTGAACTCCTGACCTTGAGCAATCCGCCCGCCTCGGCCTCCCAAGAGCTAGGATTACAGGCGTGAGCCACTGTATACTTTCTTTTTTAAAGAAAAAAAATTACCTATAGGCAATAAAGAATAAACAACTAGTAGATTAAAAAGACAGAAATATTCTGTTGTAATTCTCTAGTTACTCTTTGAAATAAAAGGAAAAAATATGTAAAATTAAATAATTATTAATAATAATTAAAAAAAGACAGCAATAGCCACAAAACAGTGAAAGGCTAGATGGTTTCTAACAGGAAGAGAACTTTATAGCCTCTCATTTGGTACCAAGAAGAAACATACCCCTCTCTTGATACAATAGTGCTTTCATATATGTTTTTTCTATAGGGCAAAGGGGTTTGAAGGTTTAGCTTATTCATCAAATTCAGTATTTAGTGCTCTGTAGTGAACTAGACGGTTTGTATGTATGAAATAAAAGGTAGTATACATTCCATCGAGGTGCTTATGATTGAATTTGACACCACACACAACTGTTATGCCATGAATTCAAAGGGATGATGTCAGCAAATGTAAAAATGTTGGGCATATACCACTGAATGCAAAGGACACCACACACACATATCCATGTGTGCTTTTTACCTGAGTGGTTAAAATATCACTCTGAGAGGACAGTCCTGAACAGTCTTCAGAGAAGCTTGTTTCACTCTGATATCCAGATGCTGCTTCACCTTAAATAATAAAAACAGAGGTTCAGATGTAAAAACAGATTATAAACACTACAACTTGTTGCATCTTTTCCTTCCCATTGGCAGAACTGGTTTTACTTTCATGTCACACAAAAAAATCATTAAACTCCTTGCTTTGGGACACTGGGATTTCCTCTCAGAAAATGAAAACTAGAAGTAAGTCCACCAATAATTAGGACATTAAATTTCAGTCAGAGATGACATTCTAGCTGGGTGAAAAACTTTTGACTTTTAAAGAAAAGCACCTTAGGAGGAACATGTTTCAAGTTTAAGAAGCAGTTACTTTATACTTGGAAACTTGTAAAATGTGCTCCACAAAAGGCATAAATATTTATGCTCATTGCTATAAACAGACTAGGGCAAACACAAAAACCTGGTTCCAATACCTAAATTTGAATCCACACTTTGCTCTTCTTGATCATTATCTTCTTCCAGGCTAGTTTCCCTTTCTTCATCATCTGAAACCAATTCCTTGTCACTCAGAACAATTTCCTGGTTTTCATACTGATTCCTCATTTGTTTGGAAGGAGGATCAAACATCAGAAAAGGATCCTGGGTGTTTCTATTTGCAGTCAAGTCTTCCAATGGACTGCACTGTGAAGAAAACAAGCTACTAGAACATTTTGCTTCCTCACTAAGGTGATGTTCCTGGGATGCCTTTGCCAACATTACCTGGTTACTGCAGTCGTTTAAGCTATTTCTCAAAGATGCTAGGTTCTCCTCTGTTTTCTTAGACAGACACTCAGTGGCAACAGTTTTTTGTCTGATAGATTGAGAAGGCATATTGGTTACTTTACCAAATAAGTGTTGGAAGCAGGGAAGTTCTTCATCCTCACTAGACATGCTCTCTTCTGAGGATTCTAATTTCCTGGCCTCTCTTCGTCGGTGACCTTGAACCAAACATGTATGAGCTAAAGGGCTAGGGCTCCTGCTGAACTCTCCTCTCTGGACATTTTTGCTAAAAATGACAGATCTTTCCTTAACACCACTTTCAGCAAAGCTGATATTTTCCTTTATTTCATCATCATCTAAGAGGTCATCAGGTGTCTCAGAACAAACCTGAGAAGCATGACTACTTCCCATAGGCTGCTCTAGGTTATCTGAAATTAGACATGGAGAAAAATCTGTATTAACAGTCTGAAGTACCCCTTCATTTTTTTCTTGTCTTTTTATTTCAGGATGTTTGCAATTACTTACAGGAAGACTTTGCTTATAGACTTCAGGTTGCATAAGACCTAATCTAAGCACAGCATTCAATCTAGGTCCTCTATTTTTACCTAGTTCTACTTGAATGTTTTCACCACTGGAACCTACTTCATTAACACTGGAGCCTGCTTCATTAGTGCTAGGACCTACTTCATTAATACTGCTTGAGCTGGCTTCTTTAAAAGCACTTTCTCTAATATTATTTTGGCTAATTGTACTCACTGTATTTGGAATGACGTTCTCACTTCCTAATGTTCTTTCAGGTGACACTGAATGTTCTTCAAACCTTTCCTCTGACAGGTTTGTCTTACATTTAGTTTTAAAAAATGGCCTGATGGGAGAAAGTGATGGTATATGATAGGGGTTTTGTAAAATGTCATGTTTATTTACACTAATGAGTTCATTTTCATTGCCTCTGAACCGAGATGACAGACAAAACCTAGAGACTTCTCTAATGCTACATTTGGCATAATCATCTGGCTTATCTTTCTGACAAACTACAGAAAAGCCTGCAGTGGTGCTAATTGTCTGTTCATGCTTGATTTTAGATTCTTTCTTTTCTTGATTTTCTTTTTGTTCACATTCAAGAGTGACTTTTGGACTTTGTTTCCTTAAGGACCTAGAGTGGGCACAGACTGTTGCACATTCCTTTTCTGGATTTCCTGGATTTGGAAACAGAGCAAATGACTGACGCTTTGAAACCTTGAATGTATTCTGTAAATACTGAGTATCAAGTTCACTGTCCTCCATTTCCATGCTTGGCTCCTGAATGTGGTTAATTTTATGTCTCAATGGATCCTTAAAACCCTCTGTGTTGTTTCTAGTATCTTTAGAACAACCATGGATTAGTTCCTTGGGGTTTTCAATGGCTGCACACTGACTCACACATTGTTTTGGTGCTGTTTTTGTCTTCCCTAGGGTGTTAACTTCCAGTAATGAGATACTGTTCTGAGTACCATAATCAGTATCAGGTACCAGTGAAATACTGGTACTCTCTATAGATCTTTCTCCGCTTTCAGTTTGGAAAACCCTTTCTCCACTTGACACCAGATCTTTGGTGTCTTTGATGCTATTAGATGCCAGAATTGTTTCTAAGTTCTCTTCTGTTTTTTCTCTTTGCAGGCCAGGATTGATAAATTCTTGAAGTTTATTAGAACTTGAACAGTTAGTATCATTGGCATGTCTTTTACTTATTTGCTCATTTGGCTTGTTACTCTTCTTGGCTCCAGTTGTAGGTTCTTTATCTTCCACGAGTGGAAGCTTTCTGCTGTGCCTGACTGGCATTTGTTCAGAATTCTTTTCCTTTATCTCTTCAATGCTAGAACAACTATCGATTTGTAGTTCAGTACAATTAGGTGGGCTTGGATTTTTATTGACTACTAGTTCAAGTGCATGAATATGCCTGCTAGAAGACTTCCTCCTCAGCCTATTCTTTTTAGGTGCTTTTGAATTGTGGATATTTAATTCTAGTTCCATATTACTTATACTGCTGCTTATAGGTTCAACTTTAGTTCTGAAAGAAGATTCTTTTTCCAATGATTCTGTTGGGTTAGGATTTTTTTCTTTCTGAACATAATTACCTTTTGTTTCATTCTCATAACCACTATTAGTAACATTCATCACTTGATCATTTGGCTCCATTTGGTTAGTTTCCTGATTTCTCTTTTCAGGTGTCTTTTGAACAACTGCCAAATCTGCTTTCTTAATAAAATCTTCAGGACAAAGGCCTGATGTAGTTCTCCTTTTACGCTTTAATTTATTTGTGAGGGGATGCTCTTGTGTTATCTGTGGCTCAGTAACAATTGTTCCTATAATTAGATTTTCAGTTACATGGCTCAAGTTAGGGAGGCTTGCCTTCCTCCGATAGGTTTTCCCAAATATTTTATCTTCAATTTTACCCTCTACTGGTTTGGAGTGAAGTCTTTCACGTTTACGTATTATAGGATCAGGAGGATCACTAGCCAGTAAGTCTATTTTCTCTGAAGAAGTGGAATATCCATCTACTTCATTTGGAACATCTAATGCACCAGCTACTTCAGCATGTGATTCACACCCCCCATCATGTGAATCATCAGAAGTTAATATTTCATCACTTCTGGAAAACCACTCATTAACTTTCTGAATGCTGCTATTTAGTGTTATCCAAGGAACATCTTGGGTATCTCTAGGACTCTCAGAGTACGGAGGTTTCTGCTTATTCCGTTCTTTTCTCCCATATGGGGGAGCAGTACTCAGATCTACCTTTTTCTCAGTGCTGGGAGCCTGCCTATCATTACATGTTTCCTTACTTTGAGCCCATCTGCTCTGTTGGCTCCTTGCTAAGCCAGGCTGTTTGCTTTTATTACAGAATTCAGCCTTTTCTACATTCATTCTGTCTTTAGTGAGTAATAAACTGCTGTTCTCATGCTGTAATGAGTTGGCATGAGTATTTTTGCCACATGGCTCCACATGCAAGTTTGAAACAGAACTACCCTGATACTTTTCTGGATGCATCTCAGTTGCATGCTTCTTAATGGTGTTCAAATCGTTATTACTGGCTTGATGATGTTCAATACTTGTTATGTCCTTCTCAGAAAACGCACAAGCAGCTGAAAATATATAAAAATAACAAGGTGTTTAAAAACTGAATCATTATGAAAAAATACATGCTTAATACAACTTAGAGGTGGAAATCATGCAAATGGATATATTCACAGAAATTTACCTCATAAACCATTAAGTAGACTGAAGATGCAGCTCATACTCTTTTTTTTTTTTTTTTTTGAGACAGAGTCTCACTTTGTTGCCCAGGCTAGAGTGAGTGCCGTGGCGTCAGCCTAGCTCACAGCAACCTCAAACTCCTGGGCTCAAGCGATCCTGCTGCCTCCGCCTCCCAAGTAGCTGGGACTAGAGGCATGCGCCACCATGCCCGGCTAACTTTTTCTATATATGTATTAGTTGGCCAATTAATTTCTTTCTATTTATAGTAGAGACGGGGTCTCGCTCTTGCTCAGGCTGGTTTCGAACTCCTGACTTGGAGCAATCCGCCCGCCTCAGCCTCCCAGAGAGCTAGGATTACAGGCATGAGCACCCGGCCTCATGCTCTTTTTTTTTTTTTTGAGACAGAGTCTTGTTCTGTTGCCCAGGCTAGACTGCTGAGGCATCAGCCTAGCTCACAATAACCTCAAACTCCTGGGCTCAAGTGATCCTTCTGCCTCAGACTCCCAAGTAGCTGGGACTACTGGCGCTTGCCACCACACCCAGCTAATTTTTTGTTTCTATTTTTAGTTGGCCAGCTAATTTTTTCTATTTTTATTAGAGATGGGGTCTCATCCTTGGTCAAGTTGGTCTCGAACTCTTGCCCTCAATCAATCCTCCTGGCTCGGCCTCCCAGAGAGCTAGGATTACAGGTATGAGCCACCACGCCCAGCCCATACTCTTTCATTTAATTCCTATTTACCTAGATTATTTCCACTCAAGATCATTAAAATTTTAATTTCAGAATTTTCCCTATGCATAAACCTAACCTATTTCCCTAACCTCAAAGAGTGAATTAAAAGCAGACTGTTTAGTCATTAGATAGACAGTTCTGACGTACTCTGAGGATCACTGGCCATTAAGTCTACTTAATACTCTACAGACTCATACTCCCTGTATTTAAAAATCAGTAGGCAAAAGATGAAATATAAATTTATCAATTAAAAATAAAGGGCAACAACCAGTTATATAGGGTACTATTATAATCACATTAGTTTAGTACCATTTAAATATATCAAGCTGTACCATGTTATCTGAGAATGAATGATATTCTAACTCTGCCAAGAAATTTTGTGAATTATAAAGGCCCCAAAATGGTCTTCAGAATAATCTAATTACAGTACTGTATCTACTCTCTCTCTTTAGTTCCTAGTAAGTTGGGAAGACTTGCCATTACCCTTTTTTGCAGAATCCAAACTGGTTTTAGCCTTGGCTCCTTGAGGGGTGATTTTTAACAACTCTTCGTCTCCCACACTATAGGAAAAAGACAGAAGTCCTAGTGAGAAATACTAGTTACATGCTCACAGAACTGTCAAATGAGCAAGATCAAATATTTTAGCTCTTCCACGTAGAGTTGCAACAAGCTGACCAATCTGATTCACTTATTAAAATCTGCTCTCTCTAGCTCAGCTATGAGAGCACTAAAAAAAAAAAAAAATAAAATAAAATAAAATAAAATCTGCTCTCTCTTTCAGTAACTTCTGGTTGAAATGGAACGGTCAAAGACTTAGGACACATAGTCACAAAGATCAGGGCAGTAGTGCAGAACACTGTGTTATGGACATGCAAATGAGAGCCTATATTTAAATTATCACTGAAAGATAGTTTTAAAAAATGCTTAAAAGTTTATCTTAATAAGAAGGCAGGAGCAAAGATATCTAAACAGCAGGAATACTAGGATGGAGCAGACACCCCAATAGAATGCAAAGACCACCACCTTGCTACATTGCTTTCAGTGCTTTGCAGGCTAAAAAAGCACTTCCTTCCAATTGTGAGATTAGGAGAGTCCTTCACAAACAGAAGCTGACAATGATACCATTATAGATCAGATCAGATCTTAGACAGGGTCAAGTAATAATTCCTAAGGAAAGCAATATGGCAGGCAACCCAGTTGTGGGCTCCTTGTGGACTACTATATAATTTATATAGACAAAGTTTGAAAGATAGGTAGAAATAAGGAACAGAGGAAAGAACTGAAAATGGAGACCTCTAATATTTTCATCAGCCACAATTACCACTGTGTCAATATTACTATATATGAGGAACTCAACTAGAGAAGATTGTTATCTGCTAGAAGCATGTATATGTACAGAGTTCCACTGTTATCTTAAACTCCTCTGGACATTACTAATTAATAAATCAAACAAATAAAAAGGATATTTCCTCAGCTATAAAATGAGGGGATTAAACTAGATGATTTTTGAGGTTTCTTCCAATACCATAATTCTAATCTAGAGTAACACCAATCCTTAATAGTAACCAAACAGGAAAATATCAGCTTCATAGACAAAGGCTCTCTTTGACTCACCTGCAATAACTTGCCTTATTAACTGTATCTTCAGAAGAATCAGATCCTAAAAAGTTTCCCCAAAAAATCCCCAAAAAACAAATCAGTAAAAGGCTTTTTATTGAAAGGGCTAAACTCAAAAAATGTACTTGTTACAAAACAGACACTCATTCACCTAGAAATATTTACTGAGCATCCATTATGTGGCAGAGACAACGCTGGATACGTCAGGCAATACAGCATAGTTGTTAAAAGCACAGGCTCTGAAGCCCAATTTCCTAGCTTTGAATCATGGCTTTGCCACTTACTCTTTTTTTTTTTTTCTTTTTTGGAGACAGTCTCACTCTGTTGCCCAACCTGGAGTGCCAGGGCATCAGTCTAGCTCACAGCAACCTCAAACTCCTGGTCTCAAGTAATCCTCCTGCCTCAGCCTCCCGAGTAGCTGGGACTAAAAGTATGCACCACCATGCCTGGCTAATTTTTTCTATATATATTTTTAGTTGTCTGGCTAATTTCTTTCTTTTTTTTCTTTTCTTTTCTATTTTTTTTTTTTAGTAGAGATAGGGTCTTGCTCTTGCTCAAGCTGGTCTCAAACTCCTGACCTCAAGCGATCCTCCTGCCTTGGCCTCCCAGAGTGCTAGGATTACAGGTGTGAGCCACCATGCCCAGCCTACCACTTACTATAAATAGCTTCACTATCTTGGAGGAAAATTTCTTAACCTCTCTGTGCCTTAATTTCCTCATCTGTAATAAGTGTAACAGTAACAACTTCAGAGGTTTGACATGCATCTTAAATGAGTGTTATACAGAAAAAGCCAACAACAGTGCCTGGAATATAGTTAAGTGCCTTTAAATATTAAATACCATAATATTTTAATTATTTTTATGACATATCTGTTGTTCAAGAATTTATGATCTTGGCTGGGAGCGGTGGCTCACGCCTGTAATCCTAGCACTCTGGGAGGCCAAGGGCGGGTGGATTGCTCAAGGTCCAGGAGTTTGAAACCAGCCTGAGCAAGAGCGAGACCCGTCTCTACTATAAATAGAAAGAAATTAATTGGCTAACGTAATATATATAGAAAAAATTAGCCAGGATGGTGTGGCATGCCTGTAAGTCCCAGCTACTCGGGAGGCTGAGGCAGCAGGATGTTTTGAGGCCAGGAGTTTGAGGTTGCTGTGAGTAGGCTGACGCCACAGCACTCACTCTAGCCTGGGCAAACAAAGCGAGACTCTGTCTCAAAAAAAAAAAAAAAAAAAAAAGAATTTATGATCTTAAGGGGAAAAACATATACAGCTAATTTCAATAAAATCTAATAAGTATAACAGTAAACATATGGGAACTCAAAATACAGCCACCCTTTCCAATTATAAATATAGTCTAAAACAGGCGTCCTCAAACTATGGCCCACGGGCCACATGCGGCCCGCTGAGGAATTTATCCAACCTGCCAGGTGTTTTTGCCACTGCTACCTGTCCTGCTTAGCAGCCGAGTCATCCCGGGACCATAGTGCGCATGTGTGGAATGTGCACCGCACTCTCCAATGGCCTGAGGAACAGTGAACTGGCACCCTGTTTAAAAAGTTTGAGGACCCCTGGTCTAAAAGATAAGCCAACTAGAAGACATGTTTGAATTCTGAGCTCAGTTTGTTTTTTTTTTTTTTGGTGAGTGCAAGATAAGAAAGTGATCAGGGAGTATAGATTTTATTTTAGTTTTTTTGAGACAAGGTCTCAGTCAAAGTAACCCAGGCTCAAGTGCAATGGTGCAATCATAGCTCATTGTAACCTCAAACTCCTGGGTTCAAGTGATCCTATTGCCTCAGCCTCCTGAGTACCTGGGACTACAGGTGTGTATCTCCACATCCAGCTAATTTTTAAATTTTTTGTAGAGATGCTGTCTTGCTATGTTGCTCAAGCTGGCCTTGAACTCCTCACTTCAGGCAATCCTCCAGCCTTGGCCTTCCAAAGTGCTAGGATTATAGGCATGAGTCAACATACCTGGCCCTCAGCTCTTCTTAAAAGGCTTCCTAATCTAGTGCAATTTATCTTGGATCCCTCTAAATCCTGCAGAAATCCATCAAGTTATTTCTCATTGCTACTCTCCATCTTTCCAAAATATATTTATATATACTTAAACCAGACATCCTTTCTTTTGCTCCCTTTAAAAAGTAAGATTCTTCAAGGTGGGTACTGCATGTTTTATATTATTTATAACTCATGATACGGCTCATAAAATTCACTTCCCAAAGCTTGCTACAACATGCATAAATTATGACCAGAGTTTTTGGCATACAGTGGCAAAACTATAAGATAAGCAATCTAGCAATTGTTATTCTAAACTTAAAAAATCTGAGACCCTTACCCAATTCAATGTAGACAGACTTATTCTGAGATTTTATCTGCTGCTTTGTCCTCAGAGGTCTCACAATTCCAAGGTTAGAGAGCTGGACACTGAGACTGGTTTCCTGCTAAGCAGAGTACAGTAAAGAATGGTCAACGACTTTTTGGCCAGCTCTATGCTTTTTTGTTGGAAGAAACTTGAGGCCATGGACAAAACAAATCAACCATCATCAGTCAGCTAAAATTTAAAAAACGCCTAGAAAACTATATACTAAAATATCTGGGGTTTATGTGATTTGAATTATTTTTCTCTTTCTGTTGTTTTAAATTTTTCCAAACTGATTTTGTATTATTTGTGTAATTTTGAAGTATTAAAATAGTATATTTTGAAGCTGATACTTGATATATATTTCCAATCACATCTGATAACAGGGTGGAAAACTGAGATAAATTTTTAAAAAGGATAAATGACAACAATAAAACCACTAGCATTCCTAAGAACGTTTGGCGAAGGAAAGAATATTTAAAAGCCCAACATTACTTTGATAAAGCTTTTCTTCTTCCTTTTTAGCCCTTCTACATATCCAGAAAAATGAATGCTGGTACTATGAGAACTATTATTTTTAAGATCTCCATTATTCATTCACATGTCAGTAATGACAGAGCAAATCACTACATTTTCTTTAACAATTACACCTTTTAAGTTGAAGTAATTTTCAAATGCTTAAAAATATCAGTGACCTCATGGCTATTTTAGGCAAGCATCAGAGCAGATAAAGCTCTAAAGCAGAGGAGGGGCCTGTCAGGTTTCTCTTTTTTAATTTTTGAGATGGGTGTTTTGCTATGTTACCCGGGCTGGTCTTGAACTCCTGGGCTCAAGCAATCCTCTTGCCTCAGCCTCCCAAGTAGCTGTGACTATAGGCACATCCACCTTGCCTCTCTTAACCACACCAGGTATCCTGACTTCTGAACTCCTCTAACTCTTATTAATTAGGACACTTTTCCCATCACTGAATTTATCATCGTCCCTTCTTTATTGACTTTTATATAAATCCATAAGCATCTAGCACATTCACCAACTCACAATGCTTGATAAAGAAATGTTGTCAAAATCAATGAAAATGGTCTTACCAAGGTAGGATTTTCAGGTTCACTCTGTCGCCTGACCTCAAGCGATCCTCCTGCCTTGGCCTCCCAGAGTGCTAGGATTACAGGTGTGAGCCACCATGCCCAGCCTACCACTTACTATAAATAGCTTCACTATCTTGGCAAAATTTCTTAACCTCTCTGTGCCTTAATTTCCTCATCTGTAAAATAAGTGTAACAGTAACAACTTCAGAGGTTTGACATGCATCTTAAATGAGTTATACAGGAAAAGCACAACAGTGCCTGGAATATAGTTAAGTGCCTTTAAATATTAAATACCATAATATTTTAATTATTTTTATGACATATCTGTTGTTCAAGAATTTAT